TTCGCCAGACCATCCCAATATATTGAAATTTGTAAAAGCTTTACAGCGGGAGCAAAGCGTACATGAGATTAACAATACGCAGGAGTACCGTGATTGTTCTGAACGAATATCAGCTCTTGTAAGTATGAAGAGGGGACCGTCTGCTTACTTACGTGGTATAGCCCACAACCTTTATTACTGAAAAAGGATTCATGGATAACGTCTTGTTTATATAACAAACGGTTCTTTTTGGAACCACAATATACATTTGATAGATAAAATATATTTTTTTAATGTAATATATTTGTCGAATACATATATTATCTATAACTATCAAAATAAAGAGTAAGTAAATGTTTGTATAAAAAAATTATTTCCTATATTCTCGTAATGTTAACACCCCACTAAACCCCCAATAAGTGTAAGGGGTTAAAGAAAAGGTCCTTTATTTCTCACAAGTCAATTTAATTGGCGACCGGTTTCGAAGCTGTCACTTCATCATCAGGCACACCTAAATGGAATGTCAAGGAGTCAGTTGTAATAAAAAACAATTATAAAAGCATGAACGGACTTTAACATATACAAAATAACAGAAAAAATACAAAAGAAGTTAAACAATAACCTTGACTCACCTTGACTATTTCCATAAAGGAAGCGCTACATAAAGTTTAACAAAACGAGTTAAAAAAGTCATATGTAATACAATAGTATTTAAAAAAAAAAAAAATAAAAAAAAAATAAAAAAAAAAAATACTATTGTATTACATGACTTTTTTAACTCGTTTTGTTAAACTTTATGTAGCGCTTCCTTTATGGAAATAGTCAAGAGTCAAGGTTATTGTTTAACTTCTTTTGTGTTTTTTCTGTTATTTTGTATATGTTAAAGTCCGTTCATGCTTTTATATTTTTTTTTTATTACAACTGACTCCTTGACATTCCATTTAGGTGTGCCTGATGATGAAGTGACAGCTTCGAAACCGGTCGCCAATTAAATTGACTTGTGAGAAATAAAGGACCTTTTCTTTAACCCCTTACACTTAATCCCTACTACTCACATATGGCTACCCTCACTCCAAACCCCCAATAGGTGGCGATAGCCAATTAATTACTTTACCAAATGATGACGCATTTTATTATAGTCGGACCCTACTCTTCTCGTGAAAATGGAATTGTTAATTGAATTGTACTTTGCAGACATTGTTGTGTTTAATATGTGGTGGACATAATAATAGTTTTCCTCCATCTAAACTATGATAAGCTGTTCTGCCTTCAATATGCAACTAAACTTATCCAACCTTATATCTCCTATATTAAGCGAGATACCAATATACAGACTCGAATTTGGGACACAGTGTAAATAAAACAAGTAGATTACATATTGTAGGTTGGTCAAGAAATTGTACTGGCAGGGGCGCATAAATGGCGGTAATTACCCCCAAAACTTTTTAAATCTAACTTTTTATAGGTACTAAAACGTACTATTATCTAAAATAAAGTCTTAAATATTACCTCTACCCCACCCCAGACTTAAACTCTGTATGCGCCACTGCGTACTGGTATAGTGTTCATCTTTTCATCTTCATATGAGGATATGTGTAATTAGTTAAGATTAAAAAGGTACAACATGGTACAAATTGAAGAAGACAATAGCAGAAAACCCGAGATGATGAGGATGAATTTAAAAGAATATAATATCTACAATGTTAGGAAAACTTTAAGTTCAAGTTCAATAATAACAGTAAGAAAACCGTTTTAATTATAAAATATTAGTTTAGTAACAATTCAGTGTCATAGTAATTCTAATTAATTCAGTTCAGTCGTGTGTAGTACATAATATAATTTTTTCTCCCGCCTACATTCATTAAGTTAATTAATAATCTGTGAAGTAATAAATGTAATTTCTTATAATTATTAAATGTCATGCTTTAAGAGTAAATAAAAGGCTTTAATATGGTGATATACATTTTTGTGAAGATGGGTACTATTTTAAAAATCCGAAAGGTAAAAAAAATTCTAGTTTTTGGTAACTTCTGTTTATATTTTGGTGATATTGTTAGTTTTATCATTTCTATATTATTTTATCACGTGTATTAAAAAACAACCAATGTCCGTTTTTATAAAAGTGATTAATTATTCATATATTAACAAAATGGAATCATTTATGTATTAATGAAAGGGATTTTGATTTACCAAATTTAATAAAATTTCTTCTACTAATCCTTTAAAAGTTGGTTTAAGTGTTCTACACTAGATAAAGACACCATTACATTTATATACCGATGGCACAGGCTTCGCCTTTCACAATCCCAACCTTTCTTATACGTATAAGTGAAACCTGTTCTGTTTCCTGCTAAAGCTCTAGCAATTAAGTTAGCGGATCTACGTCAATATTACAAATATTTCCAATCAGCCTTTAAATATGTGAGGACAATACAATTTATAATAATAGAGTAGTATTGGACATCAAACCCCTAATAAATGTATAAGTGAAATTAACACTTTTTGTCTGGACCAAAGCTCACAAGGTAATGAACTTGTTGATGATGCCGCTGAAGAGGCCTGCTTACTAGATAGTGTTAAAAACTTAGTAATGACAAACGGTATAATATAAAAGTGCTTATTGTGAAAAATCTAGCAACAATTACAAATATATACATCCTTAAAGAGTCCGCCTTGGGTGTTTTCAAAGACATAGAAGGTACTTTTGATAATACGACCTTCTTTAAGATAATACATTCAATAAACAACAGTAATGTTCCACGGATGGTTAGTGGGTGGATACATAGCATGCTTTCAAAACAATAAACATAAGTGTAGAAATATGAATATAAGAGGCTTGGTTGGGAGGAGATATCCACAGGGAGGGATACTAACACCTCTTATGTGGATCATGAGCCTAGACACCCTCATTAACCTCCTTAATAATGCCACAATAGCGTATGCAGATGACCTGGTCATTCTGCCATCAGGAAATTTGGTGTGAGGACCATTCCCTGTCTATCGATCCCAAGAAGACATAAATAGTTTTTTCCTAAGAAAAAGGATAAAAATTGAACTAAAACCTACACAAATCTAAGGTCTCACCTTCGACAGCAAGTTAACATGGAACTAACACCTAGAAAACAGAGTAAAAAAGCATATATTACTAATTATTAATGCTGTCGAACCGTGGAGCGCACTTAGGGTCTCTACCACAGAATCGTCGCATAAACTTACACAGTCATCGTGACATACGCTTACATATGGTGAAGTTGTCTGAGGTACCGAAAACCTAAACATTGACAATTATCCGCAAACTAAAACAAATTCAAAGAACATCATATCTCAATATAACAAAAGCCATAGAAATCATTTTTGGTCTCACTCCCCTTAATATTTACATTAAGGTAGTTGCTCTGATGACACGCCTCCGCACAATTGGAATGGATCCTGATGTAGGCTCTGATAAGGCGAGACTTCGCGGTCGCTTTTAGTAGAAGAGGCTCGATACGGTTCCTCTGTATCAAGCAAACATGGACTCTCACTGACATATATATGACATAAGCCATATGAAATTATAAGAAAACACATAGAAGAGCCATAAGTGACATGTGCGATTCATATCTACACCGACGCCTACAGTTCTAAAACAAAACAAGCCTTAGGATGTGGAATATACTCCAGATCCTTAAACCTAAATATAAAACGTGCTATGAGCAATAGGGCCAGTGTAGTTTAAACCAAGCTCACGGGGATTTTCTAGCAGCAAAAGAAATTAACAGAACCAATATTACTGACAGGAACAACTATACAGATAGCAGATAAACCATCCCAACTTTTCTTATACGTTCTGTGTTTCCTGCTGAAGCTCTAGCAATTAAGTTAGCGGATCTACGTCAATATTACAAATATTTCCAATCAGTTCTCAAATAAATTGAAAGGTCTGGCAATACAGTTTATAATAATATGGACAGACCACGAATTTACTTAGGGTTAGTACTAGAACGTCACGAAGCTTTGGCCGAAGTATCCATCAACTCTGTAGTCACCTTAAGATGGATCAAAGGTCACACCAATTGAAAGGTTTTGCTGATTGACTAGCCAAAAAGGAATCCAAACAAATACTTTTTGGGCCTAGCCCTTCTATAGTATGACAACATCGTTAGTGATAAACCTAATTAAAGAAAATTTCCTTGTGGAATTCAAGGAAAGCTGGGATGAAACAAGAGGCTGCAGAGTTGCCTGGGAGCTTTTAAGTTATCCTGACAACACCACAGCAAACAAATACGTCTACGTCTAGACAGACTCTGCGCCTGATCACAGGCATTCTGACTGGTCATTGCCAAGTACGGAAGCATCTCCATTGCATGTGGCTGTCAGAATCCGCACTTTGCAGAAGAAGCGAACAAAAAATCGTACATATCCTCTACGATTGCCTGACGCTCTCATTTATTAGATTTGTGTTCTGCGAGAAGTGTCTATCAACTAACGAGGATGCACAATAAGCCTAGTGGTTAATTCACCATCCACACGTTACAGAACATATATCCATCCTTATTTGCCTGATAAATCATTTTATAATTTTGAATATAAAGTCAGCAGATCCTACCCTACCAAAATTGGCCAAAGCACTTACTTTGGGCCAGTGTAAGAAATTTTTAATTGAAAGCTAAATAAACTATGACTAAATTAATTTGACATAAGCAAACCGAAATGACAGTAATTGTTTAATTGTTATCAAAAGTTATATCTATTCTTATAGATCAGTCATCTTTAATATCTATATATTCTTAATATCTAAGTACATTCTAATGAAAATTATGTATAAAACACGGACGAAAAGTGTTACTCAAAAATACTATTAATTTTCTTTGATAGATTATTCAGATCGATACACACATTTCAAAATCTTCCATTTTTTTATTAAATAAAATTAACCATTTAATTCTTGTATCAAAAATATTAATTTTTTAATGAAGTTTGAAGTAAATGTTAAAGAGGGATGTATTTTCCATAAAAGTAAAGAAAAATAAGTATTTTACCTTAAAAAATATTCCTAAATAGTATCGTTTTTCTCCCAATTTCAACAGAGGCATCGTCCATCTGTTTGGTACAGGTGCTCCATCATCAATACAATTTGGACAATCTGAAAAAAAATTGTAAAATTATGACGATTGTAAAATTATGACGATTGCAAATTAAATGATTCGAGTAAAAATAAAAGGTATTCATATCACAATAGAGATTAATATTTTCATGAACGGAATTTAGAGGTCTAATTTTTTCTGATAGTTACTTCATCATACCGTAGGATAACAAGTCATTGAAGAATGACCTTAACCAATATTCTTATGCTTGTTGTTCCATGACATTGAGAAACTAACTTTATGTGAGTGTATTTTTCCCTTACTAGAAGGATTTTATAAAAAAGAAGGTAAAGAGTAGAAACAATTAAAACGCCCTGTATAAGATACATATTTGGAAGAAAACGTTTTCAGCATCATAATATGAAAAGTAGAAACAAAGGAAATTTAAAAGAGGCCATATTATGTACTTATCGGTAACACGATCCGGCAATTGTTTTGAATCCTGTTCAGTTTCTCCTTGACATTGCAGGATATTAACCTGTTGTAATGTATTAACGGCCCGTGACAGACACAATTGAATGGAAAGGTTAGAAATATTTGGTAAATACTTTCAAATGCAAACAATTTACCAATGATAAATGAGTTTTAATTTTTAATACATGACATATCTATTAATTCAGTGTGTTAAGGAAGTCTTTTGCAATATAATGTAATTATTAAAATTTAATTGTTGATTGACTGTGTTTTCTATATGTAGATAATGTTTAACGGCCTTTAACTTATGACATTAATGACCTAATTTGATTAATATTAATTAATAATGACCAAGGTAGAAATTTTGCCGATTTGAAACCAAGTTAATCTGATTTTTGTTGTTATTTGTTAACAGAGATCTAGAAGGTAATTAAACAAAAATAATAAAACAAATTTTTATGGCGTTTTAAATTGCACAGATAAAATTGCTTTATTAAATTAATTGATAGGTTTACAGAAGATATATCTAGTAGACAGATAATGTTTGTATTCAAAAGGTTAACGTGACAGACGATTGTATAATAAACATAATTTGTAAACTACCTACTTTACAAATTATCCTTACAAGTATATAAATATTTTTGTGACAGTTAATATTCACAAAATAATTATATCAACTATTTATCCTTAATCTTACATTAAAATAAAATTATGATAAAAGTTCAGGACAGTTTATATGGCAAGACTGTCTTTGATCTTTAATCACAGGTATCACGAGTATATTTAAAAACAAACCATAAAGGAAAAACAGAAAAGCTCGAAGACGTATCACAGTAATAACAAGCGACCATTTCCCTCTTGAAAACAACTACTCCCTTGGCTAATACCGCAACAGTAATTGCATTATATCAAAAGGTGAATAGCAGAAATACAAAATAATTTTCAACTCTAACTTTGGTTTTGCTTCCTAAGGAGAAAGTCATTCTTGGACCGGTTTCGTCCTTATTTGGACTTTTCAGCAAGAAATAGAAAATCTCGACTCTAGTCTCGAATAGAGCAAAATCAAGTGTGGAGTATTTTGATAAAATTAAATGCCTGTTGCGGCATTAGTCGAGGGAGTAGTTGTTTTCAAGAGAGAAATAGTCGCTCATTGTTTATGTGACACGGTCTTTGAGCTTTTTTCTTTATGGTTTAATTTTAAATTGATCACATTTGAGAATTGGAATATTTTGTCTTGAGGTATATATTTATTTTCCGCTCTAGAGCAACATAATATAGCGAAACACGTTTATTTTGGATCTCAAAAATACATTTTGCATAACCCAAATCCAGCAATAATCCGAGTCCTGAAATTAGACGGTCATATTTTAACAGTGTAATCAATATGCCAAAATTGGAGTAAAAGTTCATATAAACATAGGTCCGAAAACGTTTCGTTTTCGAGATACAGGGTGTTAAAAATTAAATCTTGATGACACATTTTTGTAAATATTTTTTAAACATTTAAAGATAACTAAGTGAAATTTGGTACAGATGCTAAACTTTTTACGCTTTATTTAATGGACTAAACCCCAGTTTTAAATCATCTTCATAGATGGGTAAATTGGGGGGAGAGGCTTAGGGTAAAATTAGTTTAGATAAATAGTTTAAACGTCGACGGTTAAAGAAATAAATTCTCATCAATCGTTTTATTGTGCCAAAGCCAATCAAACCATTTGGAAAAACAAGTTTCTTTTCTAAAGCGGAAAAAAATAAACTTTTTGATTCCATATGCCTACTAATTATTGTTTACACTTTCAAATAACTTATCGAACTTATCATGACATTTTCAAATCTTTTCTCTTGAAAATTGTGCGTCCTAAAATGTATCATCAGGACTTCACTTTTAACACCCTGTATCTCGGAGACGAAATGTTTTCGGACCTATGTTTATATGAACTTTTATAGTATTTTTAATACAAATCCCGATGCACGTCAGAGATCATTTATGACGTCACGGCCTTGCAGTGTTGCCTAATCGTCAGAATAGTTGAGGAATTTAGAATTTTTTAAAATTGTAAGGTTATGTATTTGTTATGTTACTATATAGTAGGAACAACTAGTTTTAAATGTATATAACGGAAAATATTGAATTCCTTTATGAATAATAAACATCTGAACAAAAAAGCTTTAAACATATTATGCAAGTCATGGAAAATAAAACTGTAAGGTAGTATATTGCAGATGGATCAAAATTGGTTTAGAATTAGCACAGAAAATATCTAAAACTAATTTAATTTCACCAAGAAAGTTATTTAACAGAACTACATTTAAGTTATAAACCACAACACCCCATAAAATTAAAGAGGTCATTGAAAAAATGAAAACTACAAAGGCATGTGGAGGATTCATAATATCAGTAGATACCTATACTTAAAGAATTAAAGTTTGAAAATGCTAAAATATTTGAATACAAGAAGGAAATTGTTAAAATATTTGAGTAGGTGCTTTAGTAAATCTCACTTTCAGTAACGGTTCTGTAGCTCAAGTATTCAAGATAGCCAGAAATGCTTCAAAAATAAACAGATATCGCTACTTCTTTTCAACTCTAAAGTTATCGAAACATGTATGAACAATAGATTCATCACTCAAACATCAAGATTCTTCATTCTATCAGCTTCAAAAGACATTTGAAAAATGTTATTCTCAGTCAAATATTTTTTTGATATCTTGGAATAAATTAAATAAAAATACAGATATATAAGAAATATATCAAACTGTTTATTGTTTTAAAAATTAGACAATGTTTTTTTTTTTTAATTACACTATTTTCTCATAAAAAAACAATTATTCATCTACTAATCTTCATTATTCCTATAAAATTCTTTTATTTCTCCTAATCCAGATCGCAAGTATTTGAATCGCAGTCATCGATATCTCTATTAGGGTTAATTATAATAAAAATAATTTCCAATCTATTAAAAAATCCCTCTCTGCCAATATGTTTATTATTATATTGCTTAGAAAGGTCACAAATAAGTTCAATGGAGTTAAAAATAAAATGGCAGAGAAGATTACGTAATACTTTGTCTATATTGTTCTGCTTAGGTAATTATCTACCATATATTTCTTTGGCGGTTTGCACCTGAAAAAAGAATGTTTTATTTAGTTCTATTTAGTTGCCATTTCGTATAACGTGTGTCAATATCACTATATTCTAAACTGTAATATCTAAACAACACATTATATCAATGATTTAATGTTAGGTACACCGTTATATCAAATCTTTTTTAATTTTTTGATATTGTTTTAAAGTTTATTTCTGAAAAAAAAAGGCATTTTTGGGTGTCACTGTACATCTTGAAAATGTGTAAAACATGTAGATGTTTATTGACCACTGTAATCAAATTTTTCCAATTAAATTGTCTTTATATGATTGTTAGAATAGCGTATCTACCATTAAATCTTCAATATGATGTGTCATTTCAATATTAATATTTTTTTTTACTTGATTTACACAATTACTGATACCTTAATTTGCTTCAAATTTGGTTTTATCTCTTGCCATCGATTTTTGTAGGTCTAACACCCTTTGTCATTATTTTCCCAGGAGCTGTTTAATGTTTCATTTTGGACGATACATGTTTCATCAATGACAACGAACTGCTTCTGTTGTAATTCTATAATTTCTTAAAAACTGACCTATTTACAGTTCACGTCTTGGTTATCTTTTTTCCTTCATTCTTTTAATACAGTTAACAATGATGCAATATAGCCATTAAACATTTGTCTCTCAATCAACTTTTCTCTTAAAGGTTCCAAAGTTATATGTTGACCTGCAAATAAGTATGTATTTATATTACTGTATACAAATTAAAACTTTTATAGGTAATATAAATAAATTATGATTGAATAAATAGATTTGTCTTTATACTTACTTGTTTCATACATATTATAAATACCACTTCGGATTCCACTTGTATCCAGTGTTATTGTATTAGTAGGTAATCCTTTGTTTATATGAATGCTTTTTAATTAGCGATTTTAATCATTCATTATTCTTGACTGCTTGCCAAATACTACTGACAGTAGAAATATTTTTATTTAGAGATGCTGCAACACACTAAAAAAGACAAGAAAATAATTTCATATTTCTATGAAATTTTATAACTTGTAACTTACCTCTCTTACAGCAGTTAAAGGTAAACGTGGTCCATCATTATCACGCTCTCATTCAAAATAATGGATTAAAGAAGCTATCAACTCCTTACAAGGACTATTTAGTTTTTTAGGCATTTTGTATATAAAAATTAAACGACAAATAATCAGCTTATACACTCTATGGTTGTTTTGAAAAACAGATTTTTATAATTATAACTGGCAAAGCTTAAAAATACAGGCAAAAGGATTTTAAATTACAGAAAACAAAATGCACAATCAATAATTAACTCAACATAAACATAACCTAACTAAATCAGTGAAATTTTTTAAAAAGGGGTTGCAACACCGCAACAAGGTGTACCAATTGCTGTAATGACATTTCTTCTCTATAAATACGAGCTTCATGGGCGTACAGAATGTCAAAATTATTTAATGTAAAGTATTA